AAATCTGACTTTTCAGAAAGAACATTCGGCATTTTATTAAATCTGTTCTCGCCAATCTGCATTGATAAGCCATAAATGACATCAAAATCTAAATTATAAGAATTGGATGGAGAAAGTGTAAAGAAACTCACACAAATCACAAACAAGTTCAACAACAATATCAAATCCCTTACTATTCAAGAACACACTTTGAATAAAGTATAATTTTATCATTTACCAGACTTTGCAGCACACACAAGTTTTATTGCTTAGTATCTGCTGTTTTTTTTAAAAAAAAAAAAAAAACTATACAAAAATGAAAAATATCTTAAATATTTTATAAAGAAATACACAAAGTCATTTTTACCTGATATAAAAAGGAAAATAATTTGCATAAATAATTTATTAAGCTACTGCATTTCCCACCATATAAAAAACTTATAATTTGACAATGGATATTTAGAAAAAAACAAACTAATATTTGTGTGCAAGTGATATTTTTTTAAATATATATTTTAATATTGATTTAAACATTAACAATGAAATATATATATATATATATATATATATATATATATATATATATATATATATTTCATTTCATTTTTAGATAGGTGATTATTATATCAAACAGGAGTGTTTAGGTGTTCAAAATCTATCCCAACCTAATGATAGGGGTACAGAGTGATTTTAAGAGTGTTTTTTAAAAGAAAAACAGCACCTTATATGGCAGGAAATACAGTATACAGTTTATTATTGAAATCTACAAATGTGGTTTATACTTTTATGTTCATTGTTTGCTTGAAAAAAATTGAGACATTTTAATAATTGCAACCATGTAATGATTTGTGTTGAGATGTGTACATAAAATTAAGAAATCATTTACCTACAGAAAGAATATGAAGTATCAAATTTTTCAAACATTTTTTGCAGTTTGGTTATTATTTACAAACACAATATTTTCATCAATGAACTTACCAGTCATCTGATGACAGTGCATCACTTATGGAATCCCAATCAACATTTATCTAAGTTAGCAAAGTGTAAAAGGAAGGCAAAAGTAGCTTATCACAAACAATGCAAATATATAGAGTTATGGATTCAAGTCCCACAAAGAACAAATTTTCATAAAACACACAATATTAAAATAATTGTTTTACTGAAATCTTTAACATGTTGTATGGTCTTAGGTTTTGCCTTTTTTTTTTTTTTTTTTTATTAAAGCATAAATCAAACATTTGTAAAAGGAATATAATTGAAACTAACACCTGTAAAAATGTACTGTCTAAAGATGAACAAAAATCCTATTTTACAAAAAAAAAAAAAAAAAATAAATAAAAAAAAAAATAAATTAATTTTACCCATCCATCTACTTTTTACTTTCATATTTATTTACTTATTTATTATTTTTTTCAAATTAATTGTTAGGCTAAAAGCATTTAATTATTCCCTGCACATAAATTATACATTCAACAAATAATGAACCATCTTAGCAGAAATAGTGCAATGTTTATAGAAATATATAAATAGTATATTTTGCAATAACTGGAATTTCCACAAGTCTGGTTAAATGGAATAAATTTCTTGGTTGCAATTTACCTGGAGCTTAAAAGAACAAATCAATTGGGGTACGGGGAAAATATAAACAAGGAATTAATTATTTGATATATTTCAAACATTTTATATAATGAATAAAATATATTACAAAATAAAATATATTATTACTTGTGATATAATATTTAACAAATTTGCATGCACAAAACCTCTGATGAATAAAAACAGCTTTTAAAATTATTTACAAAAGCTATTTTCTTCTTTTACTTTAAAATGGCTTCACTATACAGACACTCATGCTTGCAAGCAGCAGTTTTTGTTAGGTTCTACTTTGGAGAAACTATCTCTACAACTGGGAAAAAAAAAACAAAAAAAAAACAACAAATTCCCAAAAACTTTGAGGTTATTAAAGCTGTCAAATTTTAATAAACATGTATTCTCAATTAATAATATAAAACCAGGATAAAATTTTAATCATGTTATAGGTGAGGAAGGCAAAGAGAAAGAGAAAAAAGAGGAATGCAGTTCTTTCTATTGTCATTTTCAAAGAATTTAATCAATAAAACACTAAATTAACCAAGTTTATCTCAAATTTAATGTAATTTTACTTTCTTTGGAGAAAATGTTTTATTACATGTATATTTAGATTATTTTTATTATTTGAAACTATATAATTCAGGACATAGATTTAAATATAAAGTATATGATTTTTTTAATAGAGATTAAAAAATATTCATATGCTCTGGTTTGGTTATTTATCGAGAAAAATGATTTGATCATGATTTTTATAATAATTATAATAATAACAACAACAAAAGATCATTAATATTTAACAAAATATATCAACCAGTAAATTACTGAAGTTTAAAGGGGAGCAGAATTTTGTAAATAAAGTGCTGCTCAATATTAAAAATAGAGCAACAATTTTATTTTATTTATTCATCTATTAACTAACAAGATGTGCTTACATGAATGCATTTGATAATTTAAATATTTCTAAAGGAATAGATATCCATTTGAAAAACTGCTGCTTGAAACCTATAGTTGCTCAGTTGATTTAGGATAATCTAATGAATGAATTAGATTATTTTGTTTAATGACATATCAACTTACTTAGGTTAATAATGCCAAATGTAATGAATGAATATAACAAAACAGATGATAGATAAAATATCAAGCCTATGCAATGCATGTACAAAAACTCCAAATCTATAGGAGAAACTGCTGAATCTCAAGGAATGAAAAAGTTTAAATGATGGTAACAAAATAAATAAACCTAGGTATTCCTAATGCAAAAGTATTTTTTTGTGTGCATAATAATGTCATAACTAGTTTTGGTGGAAAATAATTTGAATTTTTTAAAAAGTTTCTAATAATTGCTTCTAAGACAATAAAAATTTAAAGATAATAATGAAAAATTACATATTTATTTGGAGTGGACATTTTCTATAGCATACTCAAGTGAAAATAATTATTTGTAAAAGCAGGTAATCCAAAAGCTCCTCATTCAGAGATTTGGGCAGTGATTTAGTATTGTCTATGAACACGGATCAAATTAAATACTTTCATTATTATTCTTTACTTGTCCTAAAATGATGAATGGCTTAATCTTTGCTAGGTTGCAAGTTTGGTAATCTTAAAAGTACAATTACTTTTCCTTTTTCAAACTAATACTTTATGTATAATTTTTGAATTACAAAGTATTATTATGAAACAATTCAGGATCAGAAAACAAAAATAACTGATACTGACAAAAATTATAAACAGATTGATATGCGTCCTAAATACAGCCTTATTTGTTATTGATATTTGATATCTGCACAATATACAATAAAATACTAAAATGGAAAAAAATATGATATTTAAAATCCATTTTTTCAAGATCAATGGTAAAAATTCTTTTATAAGACATTTTAGAAAGCAGTGTAATTTGATTTGTATATTTTGTTTTTACAGTTTATCAACCCTCTGAGAGTTACTAAATTTTTTTTAAGAATAACAATGAAGAAAGTATTTTTGTTTTGTTGATACCAATTGACAGATATATATATATATCAATTCTTATGTGCATAAAATGATGAATGGCCACATTTTTAGCTTAAATTACTTCTTTTAAAAGAAAAAATATCAGGAATACAAAATCTCAGTAGGATTTGAATTTTTAGATGTAATACTATCATAATTAATGAAATAAAATTAAAAAAATCCTAGGATGTGGAATGCAAGTTCAAATCTTGTTTGGGGAATGGGGGGTTACTACATTGTTTCAATTCACCCTGATTAGTTTAGCAGCTGAAGAGTATATTGACCTAAAGCACTGTGATAAAAAGTGACTAATCAAAAATATATTTTAATAAAAATTGAATAGTTTCAGTAGAAACTGCTAATTTCAGTCAACTATTGATTGATGGTGTTAAACAAAACAATGTTTTATTTTATTGTGATGCTACTGCAATTTGGAATGGTTTCTATGGCTTAACAACCCTTTCTGATTTATTTAAAGCTAAAACATTTTAGATTGTAAGAATCATTCCACATATAAGTCCGTCTAGTTAACTCATAGCTGGGGAGAGGATATGGATCCATACTTTTTCCAAAGATATTTGTGTTGCAATTTTGAAAATTGAGCATTTCCTGTTTTGTGTGTGTAATTCGTTTACTGTGTGATCTTTTTTGAGATCATTTGAGTTTTTTTTTTCTGTAAACATAATGCAAAATACAAAATAGATAATTTTTTTGTGGAATGCATTTTTATTGGTTATTTGGTTAAAAATAAAAATAAAAAAAAAAAAAAAAGCAGTCATGACCAAAGGAATTTTTGGAAATTGGCTGGTTAATTTTGTATTTTTACACAACAGAAATAGTTTAATAGTTTAGTTACTATACAATAATGAAATAAAAGAAAAAAGATTTTTTTTAAACCATAACAGTTTTGGTATATAAAGGTAAAAATTTTTTTTAAATGAATTTTTAGAATTACTGATGGACTATATAAATGGATGGGCATTCATTGATTTTATTAACTGATTAATTTGAATTCAATTTACTCTAGTAAAAATTGAGAAAATTTGTGTAAAGCTTGGTTTGCCTGCAGTTTTTTCTTGCATTAGGCATTTTAAAATTTTAATAAAAAAGAAATGGGGAAATTAAATATGATTTACACATTTTACTTTTCAAATATTTTTAATTTCTTTTCTCAGTAATATAAACTATTAAAGCTATCAAAAGACAGAAAATAATGGAATGTTTTTTTTTGACAAAGAAATCAGAATGATAAATGACTAAGCTGATTTTGAAATTATCTTGACTTACTAATCAGTTTAGTCAAGATATTTTCAATATTTAGCTGGCAACTGAAAGAGAATTATTCCAGCTGGTTAGTATTAGAAAAAGTTAAAGTTATTTTAATGATAATACAGAAAGTTTATGGACAGAGAGGGGAAAGATTTGCATTCATAGTGACTCACAGGATTCTTCTGTACACTCCCTGAAATGAACTGCAGCAAAATCCACATTAAATGATCACGTCCCTGTTTCAAATTCCGATCTTTCAACTGAAAAAATAAAAATAAAAATTAGATAAATCATATTTATACCTATGTCTTTCAAATTGTAAATGTACAGAATCTGGTTGGTACAGATTGTGAAAGGTTTTTCAAAGGCTTTTATTATTATTATTATATTGGTTTGCAAGCCAGAGGACAGGGAAAAAAAAAAAAGTAAATAATAAAAAAAAAAAAAAAATCAAACATGCTTGTGCAAAGCAAAAAATTTTTCACTAAAAGAGGTTTTAAGACTACACATAAAACAATAGAATACAATGTATGATTCAATAACTTTTTAAAAACATTTCTATCATAGATAACATATCTGTCTTTAATTATACTCCAGTTAAGTATTGTATTTGATGGTACATAAGACATTTGCATTTATTATTACAATGTTATGGAGTTAAACTAAGTATTGGTAGTTTTAAGCATCTGGGTAAACATCAGCCTACCAGATACTCCAATTATGTATGCAATATCCAGTTTTGTCATAAAAACACACATGCACACAAACAAATACTACTGAGTGAAATAAAAGATTTTGCTTAAAGCTTCTTTAAGATTACCAGAAGTAACACATACAAAATGGCCAGAGAATACACTTTCTAAAATTATGTAATTGAAACAACAAAAATGCTATTCTGACTAATTTATGGCAGATGTACTTGTATTCTCTTTGTAAATCAGTTGATGCTTTGTATACAGAATAGCAATTTATGCTGTATGATCAGAGATGCAATAGACATGAATGCTGACCAGATGTATTGATCAAGCCATAAGTAAATAATGGGAGTTGACTATATATAAAAAACAAAAACTTTAACAATGCCAGTCATTAACATTAGTGATTTTCTTCAGGGTTTTTGATGACATGGATAGTATATTTAATTTTGCAATTGCATCACACTAATATCAAAAACTTTACTACTCTGCATTTTTTTTAGTGCTTACTACTACCTGAATATTAAACTAAAAGATAAAATTATATAAAGATGACAACTGATTCTCTGCATCATCTCCATGTTCTAAATGAAAACAACTACAATAAAACTAATTTTATATATATATATATATCTTACAAAAAAGTTTACAGTCAATTGCAATTTAAGTTATTTTAATACAAGATTTCTAGTATAAACATGTAACAATAAAATATATTAACAGTTTCTTCAATTTTTAACTTCAAAATCAAAATAATTCATAGATAAACTAACAGAAGATTCTGTTTCTACTCTATCTTCAGAAGATGAGCATTTTACATAGAAAATTTACCATAAAAAAAGTCACCAGAAGAATCCACTACACTGAAAAGGACAATTTTCCCATCTCTATGTCAAACACTTCCAGTGATGAAAAGAAATGTTTTACACATACAATATATTTTAATATATTTTCTGTTTATACATTATTTTTATGGATACAACTTATTTGTATAAATGCTCCGTTTTAATTAAACAGTATTAATTACATTTACCAGCCTGAATGTAAGAGAAATTTTGTAGAAAATATGCATTCTCTGACAGGAATCGAACCTGTATCCCATAAGGTAACTGTCATATAGCCATATATTTCTTGAAAATTCAGGCCAGTAATACTGTTTAATTAAAATGGGGCATTTACTCAAATAAGTTGTATCCATTAAAATAACACATAAACAAGAAATATATTAAAATATTTGTCAGATTTAATCCATTTTATATATACAATATGTATAAATAAAGTAGCACTGGCTGCTTGCTCAATGAATGCTGAATGTTCTTTCTAAGGAAATGGTTAATATTACCATGCATGGATTTTAAAAATAACATAACAGTTATACAATTTTGTGTTTCCCTAAATGGTAATCAGGAGGAGAAAAACAAAAACTCTACAAAGTGATGAGAAATAAATTATGGATAAATGACACGAAAGGAAAATGATAAATGAAGAAAAGATAAAAATTTATCCAGTCAAATAGTTAAGAAAAAGAGAAAAAAAAAAAAAGGATAAAAAAAAAAAAAAGGATAAAAAAAAGAAAGAGAAAAAAAGCTATGGACAAAGGAAAAAAAGTAAGGATAATGACAGATTAAAATTTGTGCTTCATTTATTCACTACGATATTTTTATCATTTCACCTCAAACAAGACAATAAAATCATTAAGATGCAGAGGGTCACAGAGTGAGAGAATATAAGAAAAAGAAAACATTAAGCAGAGAGAACAATAAAAGAAAAGGAATTAAGATAGAAGATAGCAGTTGACATTGAAATTAAAATTTTTGAAGATCAAATTTGACTAGAAAACAAGTTGGAAGAGTGTTCCACAAGCAAGAAATGTGATAGAAGAAACTGTTAGTGTAGACCTTACAGTTATTGCCTATCCATTTCAACTATAAAATGATGGGGTCTTGCCACCAATCTAGTACTTCACTTAAATTTATAAAGTCTAGCTAATAAAGAGGAAAGCTCATCAGAAGAATTACCATGAAAATATTTATAGAAAAGTCACAGTGAAGCTATTTTATGGCAATGGGAAAGTGACTGAAGCAAAGATGCCAGATCAGGGCTAATAACATTGCAGATTCTTTGGATTTTGTAAAGAATCTCTAAACAAATAGTAAAAGTATCAAACCAGATGTGACAGCAATATTCAATGCCTGGACAAATGGTAAACTTAGAAAAAATTTAAACCTACATAATATCATCTGTTGCTGGATTAAATCTGACAGAATGATTAAATAAGAAAAATATAAGAAAACTTATAAATTTAATGTTTTGCCTTCCAAAAAGATTTTTGATGAAGCCATATAAATAAGAAAGCAAATGTTAAATTTATAAAAGGTTTTTCTACTTGTTCCTTATTTATTCATATCATTTATTTTTTTTTTAGCTAGTGTTAGCAATTGCTAACTGCTACATTTTGGTAAATAAAATGTTTTATAAACTAGAATTTTGCTAATGTGTATCCTTGGCATTTAACTTAGTTTTTTGTCTTCCATAATACCTTGTGACACATGTACACCCAGAGCCAATATGCAACATGCCAGATGAGGCACATGTGCAATGTGTGGCAGTAAATGAGTTAAGAAAAGTAGATTTCAGATTTTCAGCAAAAGAAAACTGCAAGAAAATCAATAAATTTGTTTCAGATGCAGCTCAGCTGTTCAATGCTAAACTGATAAGCTGTCTATTTCTAAGAAGGATGATCAAAATAAGACTTGGATTTTCTCAATTTCATAGCATACACATGCACATTCAAATTCTGTTCCTTCCTTTTTAGTATAATAATAATAAAAAACAGAGTCGTTCACAGCTTTCATTTCTGTTAGAAATCAATATTTTATAGCAGTAATTTATTATTGCTTAAAATAAAGGTTTTACTTTCTGAATAGACCTTTTTTTTACATTCATAATTTTTAAACCATCCTGGCATGATATAACTTGAATACAAGTTAGTACTGAAAAGTCTTCAGCTTGACAAAGAAAAAAAATTACTACACTGAGAACTTTTCAGCATCCCCCTATAAATAAGCAATCAATGCTTCATTAAGATAAAATAAAAATAATGGACAATATCTTGTCAATTTCCAGAACTTACCTTCTCATAAAGTGACATCACCATATGTGGGAAGCTGACAAATTGGAAAAGGACAAAAAATATTAATTGACTACCCAGATGTTGCCATAACAACTGGCCAAAACCACTGTCATCTTTGCTGGCATCTTCATTCTCAGATCTTTCCATGGCAATAACTACAAGATCAACTAATTGTTCTTCTAACACTTCACATCTTTGTTTCACCTGTTTAAATAGAGTAATGTAGAAATTCATTGACTTGGAAAAAAAAATACAGAAGAAACGTTTTTATTACAATAGCAATCATCAAGCATAAAATGAATTTTTATTTCAGAACTAGATTTTCATAAATATATTTTGTAAAAGGTATACAAAAGAAATATCTCTGTAGCAGATTTTTATAAAATTAAAAATAACTGTATATTCTATCTACAACTAAACCACTTGGTTCTATTGTCGTCATCCAATCAATTGATCATTACATTTGTAACAATAATGTAAAATTTGATTTAATTTTAATTCCAGATTAGTTTGTAGCTCAGTATGAACAAGTAAAGAAAATCTTATGACAGATATTTGCTGTAATTACTTGGTCATTTTCCTTTTCACATGTTCAGGAGAAGAAATAGTTTTTAAGCATTATTTTTATGCAAGTTATTTCGTATTACCTGAGTAAATCTCAATCTTCAAGGTGGCCAGTGACCTACTTTTATAATGATCTACATTTAACAGACTAGTGATAAAGAAAGTAGTAATTATGTTAATAATACAATTCAAAATATTTTATCCTCCTACGGTTAAAATAGATTTCATAATTATCCAGATTTATTAACTTTATTTAAATTAAAGATGGAATGAAATGCAAAAATCAAATTTCAAGGAAAACTGTTCTTATCTTTGTACAACTTAGAATTTTCTTCCTCTGTGTATATAACTATAATTTTTTTTTTTTTTTTTTTAAATTGAAATATGAAGTGAAAGGATATACACCTTATTTTTAATAGAGAAAAACAAAATATTCATTCATGGGTTAATGTTTTCTTTTCTCTACATTCTAACATTTTTTTTTATTCCATGTGCAGTAAGTTTCAACTCCAATTTCAATATTTTTAAAATGGCTAACTGGAAATTAATATACTTCCAACAAATGGTTAAGATTCTGTAATATAATAGGTTAATGCAAAAAGTTCATTGCATCATCTTTTGCATAATGCTAAAGAAAACTTAGAAGTATCTTATTCAGTTATCTGTGTATACATATTCTTTAAGAATTGTCAGTAGAAAAGTAATAATTTTACTTTATTTCAATGAAAAATCATGGGTGTATATGGAATGTTAGCATATAATTTACAGTTACATCTAGCCAACACAACTGTAAATTGACGAGATCTCAATACCAGTCTAGTACACACTTAAATTCAAAAAGTCTAGGTACCACAGCGAAGAGCTCATCTGAACAATAACCATGAAAGTATTTATAGAAAAGACACAGAGGCAACCTTACAGCAGTGGGAAAGTGACTGTTAAAAAACAAGGAAAAATATTTTTGAAAATCAATCTCATGGTGTGATAGTGAACTTTTCATTATCAGTGGTAGAGATGCATTTGATGCATTTAGTATGGCTGACATTTTAGAAACAGACCATACTGGATATTGAATGATGACAAATCTTTTTGTGCTAATTAATACATGTTTACTCTAAAAGATATCTAGAATCATTTAAATTAACATAGTAAAATATTAAAAATAACAATGAATTTCTATTGATAGCAAATTGACACATGATTGAAATCAATATAAATAGCTCTTATAAATAAAACTAAAGATGGAAAAAAAGCTATAAAGACAAGGCAAAAGTAATGATTTGAATAGTTTTCTGAAGCATGTACCAAAAATAAAAAAGGATTTGTATGCAGAAGAAAATGCTATTTAATCAATTCAATAATGGATAGATAAGTAATAATTAGTTAACACTTTCATTGCTACGTTGTTATAGCATTGTTTCCTGGCTTTGCTGGCCAGTTTTATAGAGAAAAAAAAAAAAAAAGAAGGAAATTACCATTTATCAGGTATTATTGTATGTTACTATATGCCTATGCTCATTTGGAAATAGCACTAAGTGCTAGTTAGTTTATAACACAAGGGACTAACCAACATTTCAGTTTCTTGAATACATACAAACACATGTTGACAGCAAGCCATGTAAGTTTCATAAAGACATCCACAGCAACAGAAGGGTTAATGTCATGAATGTTTCAATATTTGCTTAGATTTAATAAAGACAAACACTTACTTGCTTTGTGAGTCCAAGCATGTTGCACACCATTTCTCGAGAGTAAGGCTGCTCAAGAACATAGCATAATAAACCTTTCTGCGGTTCCAGCATATCCTGCATAAGAGACAAAGCATTAAGGATAAAACATATCTATATATTACTATGCTTGTTCCTGCCTATCTACTTGCATAAAATGTGGATAGCAGATCTTACATTTGCCAAAAATAAGACTCACCACTTAGATTTGCTAGCCACAGATCAAAAATTTCTGTTTATTCAGTGACAAATAATGCCAAAAGCTAAACTTTTGACAAACTTGAAATATAATTGTACAAGATAGACTAATTTATTATATTTTTTTCCAGGGTCAGTGCATTGCAAAACAAAGGTCAAAATAATTAAAGTTCATCAGTGAAGATTGGCCAGATAGTATTCTATATTGAGAAATAATCTTTTGTGAAGTTCTTGAATATTAAAGACAATGGCACTTCCTTCATTAAATTTAGATAAATTATTAAATATTAATAATAATTAGTTAATATGTAAGCCAGATTTTAAACTATAATACTTCATTTTTATATATATATGAATTATGAAATTTTCTAAAACTATATTGAAAAGGTTCTTCATGAAAATGAACACAAATGATGCTAGTTAAATAGTTATCAGAACAAGTACTAGTTTTCTCATGAGGACAATATTTAAATAAGTTTGCAATTCTATTGTACTTATAAAGTATTAAAAACCTTGTCTCTTTGCATTTTCTTTACAATCAATATTTCCTGAATATTAAGATAAAAGGTAATAACAATTGATCCACTGCCTCATTCCTGTACTATAAACAAAAACGATTATACTGAAGATTTCCCCTTTTCTAGCGAGATTAATGCTTGACAAGCGTACTTATAAATTTTAGATCAAAATAGAATTCTTTTCATTTTCATTCAAAATACTCAAATTTTAGGAATACGTTTTCACAGCGTCGCCCACATGACGACAATGTGACCATGTTTTAAATGAAGCGCTGACCTTATAAAACTTTCAGTTATCTGTTTGGATAAGTCTTGTTCTTATGTACATCGTCTTTGTCATGTTGTATTGATAATGTTATAATTTATGAATATGTCCTGAAGATGGTTTATTAGACCGAAACGTCCGACGTTGACATTAACATTAAAACAGCATAATTGTATATAAGGATTTTTGTTTGTTTTTTCCGTATATATTTTTCTTTATACTGAAGATGTAAATGTGTGTGTGTGTGTGTATATATACACACACACAAGGGCAAGAAAGAAATTGAGATGAGCAACCATGTTTCTTTCTTTTTGTTTTGTACTTCACTTTCTTCTTAGATCCTACATATTTCCCACGTAAACTACATTACACATGATTTAGTGCTAGACACCTGTGACGATAAATATTCGCATTTACCGGATTGGAAGCGTCCAAGATGTTTTGCTTGTCGGGCTGTTGTTTTATGATGGATATGTGCATAAAACCAAGCTAGACAGTTTGTCATTTTGTCAGCTACATCCTTTCCTCTTGCAAGTTTGGTCCAAGAAAAGTACATTCTCCGACATTTGTTTATTTTATGCTGCTTGGCACGATTTGTCTAGTGGTGGTCTGCATGCTGATTGGCCAAGCTGGGGACTGATTGAGAACGAGGCCAATGGCAATGATTGGTGCGTTGGCCGTGTTTTTGGTCAATAAAAACGGTCTGGGACATTGGCTGGCAGTGCAGCTGGGACCATGGTGACGTGCACTGTTATAGAGTTTCATTAAGTTACAACTGTTTATTTTTGTCTGGAAGCTGGACGCTAGCTTTGAACCTACTGCTAGAGTGAGTGGTGTAATTACCGGTGTCTACCAAAATGTGGGAGGAACACACTGAATGTTGACAACACCAACCAACAGAAAAAACAAAACAGGTCCATTGGAAAACCTCATAACTACTGTCAAGAAGAGAAAGTTGAAATGGTATGGACAGGTCATAGCCAAAAAGCCATCTTATAAGGTATCATCTTAGGCAAAAGAAGAGGCAAGAAAAGAAAAAAAATTGGGATAAATCACTCAGTGGACTGGGAAATTATTCACATACAACTTGGATATTTGGCACAGAACCAAAACATAAGGGAACTGGACAGGTCTGCAAATGTGTAGTGATCATGACTACACCTAGTTATGAGACTGATGATCTATGTGCCATTTCCTTTCAAGGATGTTGGTAATCATGGCTTTCCACCATTTCCTGTCTTCTGTAGCACTTAATAAATTTTGCCATCTTTCCCAAAACCTGCCATGCCATCCATTCACTCAAGCTTGCCAAGGTAGGTTATGCGTTGTTTTCCTATGTCTCTCTCTTACCATCAATCTTTCCTTTGAGGTGTAAAATTTTCCAAGCCCTCTTCATTATGCACCCTAGAAATTTCAACTGTCTCTTGTCGGTGTTAAGTATAAGTGTCCTTTTTGTTGCCATTGTTTCCAGAACTTGTTCACATGTTCAGTCCATGGTATTCTCAGATGATGATAGCAAACAAGTTTACTACATGCAGAAATTATGGTTTAAAATAAATTTCATCTGTCATAAAATCTAATTAATCTTTAATTTTTCATCTTCTCTCAGTATTCAATTATCACTACATCTCTTAAGAATAAGCATCTTTTCAGGGATTAAATTAAAGACCAAGTGATAAATGGTTGCTCTTCTTTTAAGAAATTATTTTTAGTACCTTTTCTCAATAATGGTTTTCCAAATAACATCTTGGATTATTCACTTTACTTCTTAAAAGAAATATTCCTGCCAATAACATGCAAACACCTGAATGTCAGAATATTATGAATAAAAATAAATTGACTTACTTTGTCATAAGGTAGAGCACCACTGACTGTGAAGCGTAGGTTGGTTGCAGTTAAACGCCAGACATGGTTGGAGTTTGAGTGCCCCACGACAGGAAGCAAGTGCTGTCGACCTGCATAGCATAAAAGAATAAGTTTTAAATAAAATGACAAGCATTTTAAAAAAAAAAAAAAGGAAAAACATTGGCAAAGAAATTCACAAGCTCGTAGTTTCAGCTAATTCAGTTTTGAAAATTTTTCTCTATTCAGCAGGCAAAGATAAAAAGGACATTTCATTTTACTATAGGAGTACTTAATCTTCTGACAAGGATATCATGTTCAGTCAAGCAAAGAAGAGGGTCTGGAGTCTGCCTATTCTTTGAAGTTCATTGTCCCAGACTTGTGTGTATGTATGGTCTCCCTCAACCTCTTGCATACTGACTGCTGTCTTTTTGAAGTATTGCATTGGGCAGGAATGTTTTGATGACATTTTGCAACACTTAAAAATTATAAACCATGATCCTTTCTTGCCTCTAGTTGCACTGCTTATCCAATATACTTTTGCATTTTGTGTGTGTGTTTGTAAAAAAATTTTTGTATAAAATTATGGATAAAAATACAAACAAAAAAGACTATTAGAACAAATTAATACAAATATGTCTTGTTATAATAGTTATTTTTAAAATTATTTTACTCTACAGCTGGTCAAATTTATTAGCTGATATGTAATTAAATGATTTTCTTTTTAAAAATAAAAAGAAAAAAATTACTACATAATTTTGATACAAGAAAATTTTTTTTTAAAAAAAAAAAAACAACAAATTAGGAATGGCACTTAGAATTGAAGAATAAAGATTTGTGTTTTTTTTTTCTTAGAGTGTAAATTGAAGGTGTTTAGATGTAAAGATGACAATCATTAACATATTAAAATTGAAAATTCTTTATAGCACATTTGTATTTTTAACTTTTTTAACAATTATTTTCTATGTTTAGTACTTTACTAGATAGTTTTATTTTGTCTTCAAGTTTTTTAACAAGGTTCATTTGGAAGGTAATGTTTTTTATTTATAATTTTATTTTTTAATCATTTTACCTTAAGCAAGGCAATAAATCCACTAAGACACAAGGGGGTCACTGAGTGTGAGAGAATGAGGAAAATAACATTAAGGAGAGAGGAAAATAAAAGAACAGGAATTAAGACAACAGAAGATAACGATTGGCATTGCATTTATTTATTTTTTGTTTTTTACTAAAAAATATATAAAGTTTATAAATTAATCTAAATAAGTGAATTGTCATAATTGTTTAATTTTGAAAGACATGTTTGATCTACTGGTGTATATAATGTGATATGTGTGTGTGTATATATATATATATATATATATATATATATATATATATATAAAATAAACAAAGTATGTTCTGGAAGCTAATGTTTTTAAGGCAAAAAGTCTGTTTTTGTAACTATAGTGCTTGATATTAGGACCTTGAATAAGTTCTTGCTGATTTTTCATGAAAAATAATGTTTTATTTACAAAAATTAGTAAGAAACATGTGACTGAAAGTACTGTCCATTGCTAGTCACTACTTTTTCCCAACTTTCTGGCAGCATTTGAATTCCATGTCAGAAAAATGACACTTTTTTTAGGCTAACCACCAGTCGACCCATTTTTTTGCATCTTCATAAGGATGAAAGTGCTACTCAGTCAGGCCATATGCCATTGATTGGAACAAGCAATAATCAAATGGGGCAATGTCTGGTGAATACGGTGGACAGGGTAGGACTTCCTATTTAAGCATTTCCAGGTAGGTATACACCAGTTTTGCAACATGTTGCCTAGTGTTGTTATGTTGCAAAATCACTGTCATGCCTCTGCATGTATAGCGGCCATTTTTTCTTCAATGCTTGGCTCAAATGCATCAATTGTAGTTGACAGAGACCTTGTGTGATGGTTTTGGTCGGTTTGAGCAGTTCTAAATAAACTATGCCCAGCTGATCCCACCAAATACAAAGCAGAACCTTCAAATTTAGTCGCCAATGTTGATGCATGGCTGGGCTTACCCAATGATCTTCTATGCTTAGGGTTATCGTAGTGCATCCACTTTTCATCACCAGTCACAATACAATGCAAAAAAAAAAAAAAAAAAAAAAAAAACTTTCCTTTTCTGCTGTTGAAGCAGCTGTTTACATGTGACAAGACACTGTTCAATGTCACTTGGCTTCAACTTGTACGGCACCCAATGTCCTTGATTTTTTAATCATTCCTAATGCTTTCAAACATTTTGAAACTGTTATGTGATCAACTCCTAATGATTCTGCAAGTTCAGCTTGTGCCTGACATGAGTCTTCATGAAGTAATGCCTCCAAGTCTTCAAACATTTTTGGTACGCCAGACCATTCTTAATCTTTAACATCAAAATCATTATTTTTGAAATGTCTAAACCAATCTCAGCATGGTCGCTGTAAGTCTCAAGAATTCTGTGTGCTTCAGCTGCAGATTTCTTTCAAATAAAATAGTGCAGTAAAATTCTCTGCAAATAGACTTTCTTTTGCACAAAATTCAACAGGTTTAATGCTATGAAAAACAAAGTTGTTTACACTTCAGCGAAATGATATACACTGAATTTCAAGTATTTACTTATAGATGTGTTACCATCTGAAACTACAAGTATGCAGTTCTGGGAACACCATCTGTTGGAAGACAGTGAGAACTTATTCAAGGTCCTAATATAAAGAAAGAGCATTAATAGTACTAAATAAAATTAAAATGTTTGCTTTTCTCAATTTCACAAAACTCAAAGTAGAACCAAGAGAGCATTTAATTTTATCTAATTCTATATAAGACACATTCTTAGAAAATGCATTCTCAGCTGCAATTGACATCAACAATTAAATCTTGAAGTTAACTCATTGTGTTAAAAAAGAAAAAAAAATTACAAGAAAGAGATTAAATAGAACAAACAACATTTAGGGAAAAAGTTTTACAGATAAAACTTTTTTTTTTTTTTTTTTGTTTAGCTTAAAGCATTTTCTTGATATTTTTCCAAAAAGAAAAGTGTAATATCAATTACTGCAATTTTGTTGAAAATATATAAATCTTTTTAAGACATTCATTTAAAGCTGCCTCAAAAAAAAAAAAAAAAAAAAAAAAATCAAACTTAAAGCAATTTATTAGTTTGTTAATTCCAGTTTTTTTAAATTTACCATTCTGAAGTTGAAGAACTTACTGACAGATGCTGACTTCTTTTTAAAGAAATATTCAAATAACTGTTTAGAGAGTGAAAAACCTCTTAGAATGTTCAGAATGTAATAAAAAAAATTGCTTTCTTAATCATTATTTCAATCTCTGTGAATTATCTAAATGCAGCATATGTTCGTTTCAATTTACTGTATTTTGCAGTAGATAAGATGCATGCCCACCTCCCCACAGTCACCCTGCACAGTGAAGGTCAAGCTTGGGATTAATGAATCACCCAAGTTTAATGATGCAGACAACTTTAGAATGAATATATATATATATATATATATATATATACACACACACACATACACACACAGGGTATAGTTTTATCAATATATTTCATGCTAAATTTAGAGTGTCTTAGATGCAGCTGAAAAACATAATTGTTAGCATTTAATGAAATGCATATCTGTACACAAGAATTTGGCATGAGATGAAGTAAAAATATATTCAAAGACATGAATTTGAGAATTTAGGTATATTTTATATTAGTATGATTTTGAATAAATGTTCAAGTAACCCACTGCATCACTGTAACAAGGATGAATTTTCAAGATAAAATCTTTAAGAAATCATTAATTGCAAATACTTACCAGTAAATCTGATCTTATTATCCACACACATACACACAGCATTAATGCATTTTATTCTTAGTGTAGAACACTTTTCACAGAGCATCTGATCATAGGCAGAAGTGTCGATCCATATATTATGAGAATATTATGACATTATTATTATTATACACCTTTTTGGGCATAAGAATTAGAACTAAAGTTGCTTAAGTGACTGCTTAAGATTTTTTAATATTTGGGTCTAATAAATAGAAAGAAGAAATTTAAATCTAAGCTGGTAAAATTTTCAGAAGTCTTGAGTACAGTATAAAATTTATTTCATAAGTTTTTTTATTTGAAATTTTTCTTTTAAAGTTGCTTAAACCACACTGATGTGAGTAGTGATGTTTTTAAGATTTAGTCAAATATCAGTACATTTGTTTATAACAGAGTCAAAAAAATAATAAAAATATTAGGTAATGAAAAAATAAGTTTGGAAGAGTCAATGGTTTATTTTTATTATTTAAAAAAAAAAAAAAAAAAAGAAGATATTTTAAATGATTAACATATTTATTTAAATATTAATTTAATCCTTTTGAAAATAATGTTTCTTTGCTCTAATGCATGAATTGTGACTCATTGATAATTATTATTTTATGTGCTATGTCCTTTCAGCATATGAATAACCATGGCTCTCCACGTTTTCCTGTCTTTTGTTGGTCTAAGTAACTTCATTATTTCCTCCCTCTGTCGTCAGTCTGCCATTCAGTCACACAAAGTAGATTACTCAATATTTCCTCTCTGCTTCTCTTGTCATTAATATGTCCTGTGAGTGTTAAACTTTCTTGGACCTCTTTCCTCATTATGGATTTCAGTAATATCAACTATATTTCTGATTGTAATTTTTTCCCCACATGTATTGATTAAATAAAAAAAATTCCTGTCAACAAATACATAGCAATGGTAATAAATTCTTATCCCATCTTTTACATTACACATATTTTACTCCTAAATGGATTTTAATTTGTATGCAGCAAATATCTTAAAACCTATTATTACATTTTTATTTTAAGGAAATTGGTGCAATCTACTTTAAACACAATGGAAAACAAAATATTGGAAATTAGTTTATAAATTAACTGCCAGAAAAGAGCCACAAGTGATTTTGTTGTACAAGTCACCTGTATTGCATCAAAGACTAGAACACCTTTTCATTCAATACCTAAAAACCATAGCTTCATTGAAAAAAAATTGCCAGCTTTTGTCAGAGAATTTGTTTCAACAATTTAGTAAAATGAAGAGATGCTGGCTTTTCCAAGACAAATATAATACATAAATGTGTTTATACTTGCTTAAATCTTGTTTTCAATAGATTTCACTCAATGTCAAATCCCCTCCTATTTATAGCTATTATAATAATTACAATTATTTGCATATACTAATTATCACTTTGTTTAATTATTAATGAATTAATTTTGCTGCCATGATATGGCTGACAAAAAGGATGCAGACAGATTGAAAGGAAAAAAAAGCACTGTAATTAGCAGTTAATGAATTTTGAATTATTTCCCTTAAACAGGTCTTTTTGTGGGTGGTTAATTTAAACTTAAAGATTTATTTATTAAATCGTTGCGCAATTAAACTAGAATATAATGTACTGTTTTGACAATTGATAAGGTCATATAGCATCAAGAATAATTATGTACACATCTATAAGTAAACAATAATAATTCATCAAGAGTATAGGCATACTTTAATTAATACCATTAAGTATTGGTAAAGTTTGTTTTTTTTTTGTTTTTTTTAATTAAAAAAAATTTTTTTTTTTGTTTTATTCAGTAAGAATTATTATTTAACTCAAATTTACTGCAACCATACACTTTTCTGAAGGATGTTATCCACTACAGGGAATAACTCAACTGGAATTTGAACTTGGCTTTCCAATTTGTCAATCCAAGCCAGTATCGATTACTTCACCAAGCCTTCCAAGTGATAGTACCTGTTATAGAAACACCATGACCACAGCTTTCAGCTTGTTATTAAGACTATTACTTCAACAAATCCATACAGTTTTATATTTTCTCTTTCATATATAGGAGTGGCTGTGCACACACTTTACAATTTTATGTAACCTGATATTTACAGAGCTTGGTCTGGTATAATGTTACAAAAGACTGTCTTAATAAACTTAGCTGTGAAGTAACAAAATGATATTTATCAAACAAGACTGGTCATATGACTTTTTTTTTTTTTTTTTAAGAAAAGAAATACAAATTTTTGTTTTTGAGCAATCATTATCTGATATAAGACAGCTCTATAACCACATGCAGAGTGTGCCAGGATATATACAACAGACAGTAAATGAAAATGATCTAACAATGCTATGCAATACATAACAAATTTTAACATTCTTATTTCTCTTTCAACTGTATTGAGTGCATTAACATGACAGTTTCAAATCTGTCATCGGAAATGAAATGGTACATTGTGCTCATGGCACTAACTGCTAATCACTGACTTGAAAATAGGCTCTTGAAAGTGGCCAGGTGAGAAAGGAGACTCATAGGTGGCTCTGGACGAACCCCACAAAGATACACATGGTGATGGACACCAAATTGATTTTGTCTGTAAAGATCTTGTGGATTGTGAGCAAAGAGAGCCACAGGGGTTTATGGCCAATGCATCAGTCGATATTGAGATACTGGACACAGTGGTCAAGACCTGACTGAAAGGGATGCCTATATATGTTCTAGCAGGATATTGCTTCTTCTCACATATACACTACTGATCAAAAGTTTGGGACCACTCAGAGTTGTTTCTACAAGGTCATAAAAAAGGCTAATGTTACATATTTGGATAAATAAATACACCTATTGTGTATATATACAAACCCTTATATAAAATTCAAAAACATTTTTCTGCAAACAAATTTATTTGCATGAGCTTGGAAATTTTATTATAACCCGATACCTTTTCTGAACTGTAGAGAAGAAATTTGCAAATATTTCAACTCCACTGCTTGATAGAGGTTCAATTTCATCTAGATTAATGTGTGATTGAAATTAATTTTCAGAAACCATTAAAATGCCAAGACCTAAACAGATTAGTATTGAAAAAAAAGTTCCCAAGTAGAAATTCTTTCTATAGAAGGGTATTCTGAATGTCAGATTGCTAAAAAATTAAAATTACAGGCAAAGATCTGGGAGGCCCAGAGTAACATCTATTGCAGAGAACAAACATTGATCATGCTTTGCAAAAGGATGAGAAGAAAAACAGCTAACAGCTGAATTTAATTCTACATATCAACATCCAATATATGTTATAATTGTTAAGAGAAGACTTCTTTCTATTGGGTATAAAGCATTAAGAAACTTCTATTAAAAAAGGAAAATAAGTTGAAAAGACTAGAATGGGCACAACAGCACAAGGATTGAACTTTAGAAGATTGGAAAAAGGTGCTATAACTTATGAGTTCAAATTTGAGCTTTTTGGAAGTAAACAAATAGTGTTTGTCAGATGAGCTCCTTTCAAACAAATGAGTGAAAATTGCATTTTGCCAACTGTTAAGCATCGTAGTGGTGCTGTAATGTTTTGGGGATATTTTAGAGGTGAGAATGCTGGAGACATTGTTCAAATTAAAGACATTATGCAACAGGAAGAATATCATTCAATACTGCAGAGACATGCAATTCCTTCTGGCAGCTGCATTATTAGTCAAAATGTTGTTTTGCAACAAGATAATGATCTAAAGCACAGTTCTAAATGTGTACAAATTATCTAATATCAAAGTAAGATAAGGGAATTTTGATTTAGATTATTGCATGCAAACATAGAAAAAATAAATTTATTTCATTAAAGACTTGATTCATTTTTTAACTTTTGAGGGAGAAAAAAAAAAAAAAAATATCAACGTAACCCAAACTTTTAGCCAGTAGTGTGTGTGTGTGTGTATGTATATATATATACACACACACAACACTAATCTTGTATGCATGTATGTTCCTGAGATACAATTTAATACATAATACCCCTAATACTAATTTAGTAGCATATAGTACATTGAACCCCTGACAAGTGCAGTGCCAAATTTCATTAAAATTACACAAGGGTTTTTTGAGATAGAATCATTTTTTTTTGTTTTTATGGCATTTTTAATAGGAGATTCAGTATTTTTTTCAATACACATTCTTTATATCAATCAGCGTATATAAATGAACACTTGCATATTATATTCCAACAATTATGTATATGAAAAATAATAAAACATTCATAATACATAACATTATTAAATTTAAATATGCACAACATATTTATACAATTCACTACATAATAATTTTTTTTTCATAAACAACTACTAGAAAGGTGAAGAGGTTATATGTACCACAGGACTTTATGCTAAATAGATAGATGCACACCAATTAATAAATAATAATAAAAAAAAAAAAATTAATTTTGAAAAAAGACTACATGTGTTTTAAGCTATTACTCCAAATTTTCATGCAATGTGTTAACTATGAAGCCCAGTGGAGCAATATTTCTCCACCCATAGACATAAGATAAAACCATCTTTATCCTGAAGAAGTTCCTCCAGGGAATGAAACCAGTTACTTAGGTTTTTTGTTTCCATTTTGTTATTCGACTATCAGCTTAATACATAGATCTGTATATCAAAATTTTAAATTTCTCAGTTTCAAAAAATGTTCCCAGGTAATTGTGTAAGTGTCTCCTATACCCATCTTAATTACATATATTTTTTACCTTACGTCTTAAAAAAGACAAAAAAAAAAAAAAACCACACACACAACCTATATGTACAAATTCTCTGTCAGATGAATAGAAACAGAATGTATGGTATCAGAAAATTTTATTTGATCACAAAGGTACATAAAATAGTTGCAAGATATTTAAGGAGAAAAAAAAGATTTTGCTTTTAATTTGTTTTTGACCAGATTATTAAAATTAGTAAAATTCTTTTTAAAATATTTTTCAATTTTACTAATTATTAACTGCTTTTTAAAGATTAAAAAAGTGCATACTCATAATTAAAAATGCAAGATAAAAAAGAATATATTCTTTTACACGTAAAAGAACTAAATGGTGTTGCTATTGTATTACTTACCTGCAATAGAAACCATGTGTGCTGTCAATCGAAAACTTTGGATAAATTCGGCCAGGACTTCTCCAAGTTTCTATTTAAAAAAATAAATTATGAAAATTTGTAAAAGCTGCTTATTTTAAGAAATTGCCTTTAAAATTAATTCAAAGTTTATGAGTAGCTTAAAAAAAAAAAAAAAAAAAAAAAAAAAAAAAAAAAAAAGAAAAAAAAAAAAAAAAAAAAAAAAAAAAAAAAAAAAAAAAAAAAAAAAAAAAAAAAAAAAAAAAAAAAAAAGAAAAAAAGAAAAAAAAAAAAAAGAAAAAAAAAAAAAAAAAAAAAAAAAAAAAAAAGAAAAAAAAAGAAAAAAAAAAAGAAAAAAAAAGAAAAAAAAAAAAAAAAAAAAAAAAAAAAAAAAAAAAAAAAAAAAAAAAAAAAGAAAAGAAAAAAGGGTAGAAACGAATGTGTAATAAACTATAATTATTTTTTTTATTAGTCTATATTTAAAAGTTGCTCAACAAGATAATGAGAGTATATAATTTTACATTATAAAAAGAAGACTTATATGTAAATATGTAAAAGAGCTAATATTAATTAACCCATATTATAGTATAGGATTGGTGAAAAAAACAACAAAAAAAACAAACTTTCAATCATATAAATTTTAAGTAGTAAACTAATTATGTTTATATGAACTGAAAAATTAAGACAACTTACCCAATGGGGCCATTTTTTATCATCAGGACAGAGTTTGGTAATTTCAAAAACAGCTAGATAGCTTGGAAGCAAACAGGAATTCCGGTCAATAATTGCTGAGACGACCTTTGATAAAGAACAAATAATACTCAAACATTTTTTTTCTTTCACTTAAATTACATTGATTTCAGTACAAGTAAAATTTTATATATATATATATATATATATATATATATATATATATATATATATATATATATTTTTCAAACATTATTTTTAGTGGCGACCTCTATATGAGTAGTTTTTATAGTAGTTTATTTCATCTACATGCTGGAACATTAAATAAAAAATAAAAAAAAAAAAAAACATTTGAAAATATGTCCTCCGGACATTCGATTCAAATATAGATATCCACTAAAATTAACATTTGAAGTAATAAAAATATATCTTAAATATATTAAAAATAAAAATCAGAATTCTTTAGAAATATATATATCACACAATGTAAATAACAGAGCTATAAATTATACATTAATAATGTGTGTGTGTGTTTGTGTGTATATATATATATATATATATATATATATATATATATTTATTTCCCCCTTCACTGGTAACAGAAATTCTGATGTTCATGCACAATCTTTAAGTGCCAAGTTAAAATTGACCATTTTGAGTAGAACAATATATATATATATATATATATATATATATATATATAATGTCATCCACAGACAGACTGTTTCGCTGTTTCACAGCTCATCAGTGTGGCTAGACATCTGGTTGCCTCTAGCTAGGATCGAAACGCGACTGAATTGGTGTCAGTCGGAGATTCTAACCATTAAGCCGTCGGTGCACGGTAGGGATGAAAGTGAATTTTTTAGCGTATTTATTTTTAGAAACACGACCGACAGTGACTCAATTCACATCTGCGAAGAGTCTCGCTATATAGCTATAATAGTCACTGTTTACCAACCCACACCTCGTCCCCAGAGAGCTCAACTGAAATTGATATTTCAGGAGCCTATATATATATATATATATATATATATATATATATATATATATATATATATATATAAGAATGATATACAAATTTCTACATATCAGAACATTAGGTAATTGAAAACAAAGAAAAATGCGTAATGCATTTTGTCCTTTAGAAAGTCTTCATCAAAATAGGAACATTACTTTGGTCTGATGAAGTCTTTTTAGAGGACGGAACACATAGAATCTTTCCATTCTGTCATTCAATTGCTTAGTGTGTGTGTGTGTGTGTGTGGACAGCAATTTCATTTATGCATGTTTGGTTAAAAACTAACAAATATTGGTTAAGATATATTTTTAATTTTTTTTTTAGTTTATTTGTTTCCAGGAAGAATTTAAACAAATTGTCTTGTGTTCTGATCACTTTTGGCTTTCATAAGATATTATTAAAGAATTTGTTGTTATAAATTAATAAGGTTGTGTCAATAGGCATGCATTGTATTTCTTTGGTTTTCATGTCATATCTAGGTTACACAACTACTACATTAATGAACTGGTTAAATTGCCATTTATCTGATAACAACTCAATTAAATTGCATATCAGCAACCAACATATCAAGAAAACAAGAAATCTGACAAATACTTATCATTGATAAATATTTGATATAGTATACTGTTGTAGCATACCTCTGGATGATAATGGGTAGGTCTCTATTCACATAAAATAAATACAGTAGTAAATACTGTATGTTGATCTGTGGTTGGAGATTCATTACGGAATTCACTTGACTCACTTCTATGTGTCACTGGTGAATCTTATGTGTTGTTTGTGTCCTAAGTATTATCGTTCATTAGCAACCGTAGTGTGATTATTCTATTCAGTAACCTTCCCTAGGTTACAATATATACAAAAATATGACACATTGTAAATTTTATAAAATAGCCCAAAATATTAGAAGATAAACATTAAAAACAAACAGCTTAGCACTAATAAAATTTCATGTAATTTAAGAAACAAGACATACTAAATATTTCTCAGTAAGACACCTACAAACTGATACATGTAGATGCAATACTTGAAAAATAAAAAACATTTTGAACATCACATGAAGACAACATTTGAAAACTACCAAAGAAACAATGCATAGCCACAGACAGTCTTATTAACTCATAGAAATCTTATTGGCTTAAATTACCCAAGAGAGAGAGAGAGGAGAGAGAAAAAAAGAGAGAGAGGAGAGAGAAAAAAAGAGAGAGAGAGAGAAAAAGAGAAAAAAAAAAGAGAGAGGAGAGAGAAAAAAAGAGAGAGAAAAAAGAGAGAGAGAGAGAGAAAAAAAAAAAGAAAGAGAGAAAAAAAAGAGAGAGAGAAAAAAAAGAGAGAGAAAAAAAAAGAGAGAGAGAGAGAAAAAAAAAAGAGAGAGAGAAAAAAAAAGAGAGAAAAAAAAGAGAGAGAAAAATCAAACAAACATTGATTGGTGCATATAGATCTTATAATATATAAAATTTAAATATACTAACTCATTGAACATACAGTATATTCATCTTATAGATTTAAGGTTAAAATTAGTTCAGGTGTTCTATTGGAAAAATCCAGAATGTTTACAAGAAGGATATGGAGAGAAAAAAAAAAACAAAACAAAACAAAAAAAAAAAAAAAAAAAAAAAACCCAAAAGAAACAACTATAATGAAAGCATGAATCCCTGTCTTTTGAACTGATGCAGACTAACTATTATCCCTGGTTTCCTATTTAGGATTGCGTTTCTGATTCCTTCTAAAATCTCATTCACTTTCACTCCCAGTAGCCCCTTATGTCTTAGTGACATTACTGCCTTGCTTGGGGTGAAATTTAAAAAAAATATTGATACCCATAAATTTAACAGATTTAGAAGAGTCCAAAGAGAAAAATAAAGGCAAGAAGCTAATATCAGGTAAAAGTTGTGATTACAATAAAATATAAACAAAATGTGGTAAATGAATTTACCTCAACTGCACAATCAACTTGAGGAGCACAAGATACATTTTCACATGGAGGCACTGTCTGGCACTTTTCTAAGATTACCCTGAGCAAATCCCGACAACCCTGAAAAAATCATGAAAAAATTGACAATTGTCATATTTTCAATATTATAATTGTGACCAGTGTTATAGTAATAATGCAATGAAGTAAATATATCATGTTAGCATGCAATTAAATGATGTCTCTTAACATTATAATTTTTTTCTACTTTTCTTGCATAAATAATAAATGAAGATTTTTCTATATTTTAAAGTAATTATTTTCTGAAATAATGAAATTATGTATTTTTATTATTCCATATATTATTTCAAATAATTGTCTGCATTAGGACATTTCCACCAATCTGTTTCCACCAGCCTTTAAAAAAAAAAAAAAAAAAAAAAAAATCACTTAAAAATTTTTCATCTTTTCAACAAAAACATTCAATTCCTTTACTTTGTTGGACTATGAAAGAAGAGCTGGAAAAAGAAAAGTACAAAATTATTTTAAAAGACAAGAAACAACAGATAGTAAAACATTATATGCAATGAAAAGTTAACAAAATTTCACAACTTTGTAACTTTAGAGCTGTTTTTGTTTGTTCTTTTTAAACTAGATAAAAAAAAAAAACTGCTATTTTACTAGATCACCAAAGGCAAAGAAGTGAAGAATGTGTATTAAGTTTCTAGCAATACATACCTTGTAATCAACACCACCAATGATCTTTTTGATTAGAACAAAATTCTGAATCCATTGTTCTTTCTGTTTGTAGTGTAGGCTTTCACTTGTTAATAACGCTTCACATATTGGCCTGAAACAAAAAACAGGCCATGAAAATTAGAATATTAGTATATGCCAGAAGTAATGTAAAAATTCAACAATCAAAACCTTCATATAATTACATTCTGCATAGTTTAGTCACTAACAAGTATTTAGCACTGAATAAATTCAAAGGTGCATAAAATAAATGACACCTATTAGTCTTTATATTTAAACTTGCAGATCAACTGAAATTTGTATCTCAAACAAAAGTCACATAGAATACTAATATAATAGTTTAGTTTGGTATATTTCTTTATATACTAAGTTTAATAAAATAATTCCAAAAATTCCATTATAATAATTTAAAATATTTGGAAGCAATAACAGACAAAACAAAGATAAAAATAATGTTATCTGAATATTCATTTGCTTAATGGATGACTAGATAATATTTGTATTTACCCTTCCAAAGTTTGCTTATATATTATTCAAAACTGCTTGGAGTGTTTGACTACATGCTTACTCACCAACGTTTCTCTGTCAACTGTTGTCATGCCAGAAACAAGTTATTTTTTTTTTTTTGTTTTTTTTTTAAGATATCTAGTAATGAAACAGAACACAAAAATGTGGATTCATACCTTTTCTAAGGGTATTAGTGTTAAAAGAACATCAGCAGCCTCAGTCAAATTTCAAATTTGGTTTGCAGATTCTGATTCAGTACAATTAACTGCTACACTATCTCATATAATGCCAAGTTACAATATAAATATTAAGGCAGGTACTGATGCAGTTTTATTTCTAAATTATAAAAACATACTTCAGTTGTAAGTATTCTAAAATAAAATAAAGTTAATTTTTATTAGAATGTCTTAATAAATGAATACCATTTGCAAACAATGGAATTAAGGCTGTATACTTATTTTAAATGTTCGAGTCCCAAAATGAAAAATTGCTATATTTCATTTGCTGTTTTATGCTTTAAAATGGTTGATTTTGAAAAGTTGTATATTTGTGCTAAATTTAGTAGTGAAATTCAAAATTAAGTAACTTTGAACTTTCAAAAGTACCCCAATCTGCTTTGTATGAGAATAATACAATATATACAAACCCACTTCCAAAAATCTCTGAATAAAGAATTTTAGATCAGCTTTGTTATATATTTGAACAAACTTATTTTTGGTAATTATGAATAGAGTTTTACAACTAATTTTACATGGTAAAATAATTCTATTGAGCTCACGGAGAGGAAGGGATGATTTTATAAACAGTGGCTGCTGCTGCTAATGCAATGCTCTTCTACTCGAATTGAGCTCTCCTAGCTACTGACGTCTTTTGCATAGTAAAAATGTTAAAATTTCCCTTTCACTCTGCCATGCAACGATAGCTTGGGGGTAGAATCTCTGACTGATGCCAAATCGATCGAGTTTCAATCCCGGGTGGAAGCAATCAGATGTCTAGCTACAGTGATGATTTTTTTTCACCTCTCATAACCAAAATTTATGACCAGAAATTTACAATTAATGCTATATCTATGAATGTGTCGAAAATGAATTTGACTGAAAGGACCAGCATGAAGATAGTTGGTTAATGACCAAGTTGCAAAAGAAAATGTCCTTTCTTTGTGACCCTCTCTGCTAGGGTCAGGTAACCACAGTAATAACAGACAGGAACAATAAGAACAAATTGTTTCACATTCGGCCAAAAAGCTCTTGAGCATGAGGCACAGGGATTTTTATAACATACCTTTGCCCTCACCTCTTCTGCCAATCCAAATGGAAGGCTACTAAAGCAGAGGAGAATGAGGCGTTCATGTCTTAGGACTCCCTGGTCAACATAGCCGCTCCACTCATGTAAGTCTATGCTTCATTATTTCCAACAAATGAAAATAAATTGGCAAAACAGTGATGGCAAGCTACTACTTTAATCTGGCTCCAAATAGTATTCATTCAATAATGAAAATTAGTATTTTTTTCACAAATTATAATTTAATGAACAATATACATTGTTAAAAGTTTGTCTATTTAAGGCTTTTAAAAAAACCCAAATAACTTGTAACTATGACAGAAATATATTGCTTTTATTATTACAAATAAGACTTGTTGAAGAATAACATCTAAAAGGGATATTAAGGAGAGATAGGTTGTGTCTAGTCAAAATAAAATTTATGAAATTACAAAGATTTAATAGTAATATTGGCCATTTCTCTACAAGGAGACATTTGGTATTCATTGACCAAGCAGCCAGTACTGCTTTCAGTTGAAATTTATAAAATCTCTCTTAGAATATCTTTCAGGAAAACAATTTTCTCAAGTCCAGTAGCTATTATCACTTTCTACATATCAATGGGGGTTTCCTTTCTAACTTTATATTTGAAATGGTGTAGAATGCTAACATCTTGATTACATCATTATTTTCTCTTCAAGTTACACGTGCTATCCATTTTACTTGTTGTTGCTGTTGGTAATTTTCAAGTGATGTGGTTTCTGTTATTTAATGCAGTTCTTTGTTTGTGATACTGTAGCACCAGTCCACAATGTTCAAAGAAGAATGATCTTTGCCAAGACCCTCAAGCTTCACTTATTCAAAACCTTTTTTCACTACTGGTCTTAGGAAGTGGTTGTATACTGCTGACAGTTTAGATATTTCTGAATGGGTTTGGCACCATGCATAGCATTCATATGAAATTCTCAATATGATGAAGTGATTTAAAAACATGACCGAGTTTTCAAGTTGATGTTTTAGTTTTGTAACAATTTGTGGTGTTTGGCACAGCCTATTCTATGTTCAATTTGTTTTTCTCCTATACTTAATTTGTTATAACTGATCCATACACCAAGGTATCCAAAGTGTTTATTAGTTACTAATTCCCCATCCTGAGATTTTATGATGGATTCAGGATTGGTGACATCACTGCTTTCATCTCAATTCCAAATCATAGTTTATGTTTTGGAAAGGTTTATCTCGAGTCCCATTTCTTGGAATGCTTGATAGAGGATGTTGATTTTTCTACTCAAGATCATTCTTAAGACAACTATGAATACCTATATTATCAGCATAGCCCAGGATTGTGGTCTTTTATTGGTAGATTTATTTGAAATGTGATATAGAATGCAATAAATTATACAATATTACATCAAAAGAAAGAGAAAATGTACTTTACCTTTCAATCTTTTCTCCTTGCTATTTTTCTCATTTGGAGAAAAAAATAATCTCTGATGATGTTTTTATTTTCTAATAATTTTGTTGCTTTTTAGTATAATGTTTTAACCAATATTGGTAAATTGGTTAAAAATGTCTGATGTTGCACACAGTTCAATGGGGAAGGAACTGACTTGTAACATCCAATACCTCCAAAACCAAGCTAGTAATGTTTCATTATCACAAAGTGGTCAGGAATGGTTATGCTGTCAATGAGGCTCTTTGCCTGGAACACCTATTCAGATTAAAGCTCACACCAGACCTCAAGTGGACCTTATATATGGAATATTTCTGCTACATCTGCTCAATCCTCACTTTTTGACAGAGTTCAAAAGCATCTGTCCTTGTGGGTGATGAATTATTTTCCACCCTACCAACCCTTTCCTATTTCATTTCTATATCATTATTTTCAACAGATGTTTAGGTGAACTACATTCTTTGGTTTCACCAGTTCAAAGCTTCACAGCTAGAACCTGCCATGCACCATACACTGAACTGACTCGTCCTCATTTCCTTCATATTCAACTGATGAGAAAGAAGTTCCACTCAGATAGCTCCTTCCTCAGAACTACTGTATTATGGAATAGACTCCCAAGAGAATGCTACACTACAATCTTAACTGCTTCAAGTAGAGATTAAACTGTTGTCTATCATATATTTCCTCATAATATGTACCTCTTGCTCCCTCTCTGTATGTCCTTACAACAACCTCATTTAGTAACGCTCTACCTTGAGTGGCTCATGAGCCTTGTATTGAATAAGCAATTGTGGGAGGAAAAAAAAATTAGTTACAAATCTCTGAAATAAAAATAGTTAATCTCAGAATCCCAAATAATTTAGAGCTTTCAAATCTGGTATTCAAATACATTAAGCTTTGTGTTCAAGGAACATTGCTTTTGCCTGAATATGGTAGAAGAATTTTGTAACAATTGTTTTAATACCGATGGCACAAAACAAAAAAATTGTTTTAAGCTTACCGAGAAGGAATGACATTATTTTCCACCAACATTTCCAAAAGATCAAAGAGAGTCTGTGATCTTTTGCTATTGTGTTGTAGATAAATATTTTGTATGTAGAATCGTAAAAAGTTATCTCTCACTTCTGTACTGTCCTGTAAAAACAAAAAGGAAGAAACAATCATAATTTTAAATGGTACATTAATTCTATGCAATACAAATTTTTATATCACTAAAACTAAGATATCAATGAGCTGCACATATGCATACACAATATGTGCCTTCTTGTGGAACAGGAGTTATCAAGCTAGTCTTATTGATAAATAATACTACAATAATGCATTTGAATTTAACTGAATGCATCTACACTTAAGACTGTGTGTGCATGTGAAAGTAATGCAAACTGAAATAAACATTAACACTATAAAAAGTAATAGTAATTGCAGAGTAATCACCCACATTTCCTTCATATTCCACTTGTAAAGAGGAAGTATCACTCAGTTTTTTCCTATTGCTTTGTGGGACAAACTCCTGCATGGATGCTTTCCTAAGCACTACAATCTAAACATCTTTAAGAGTCAATTGTTATTTATTCTCTTTTTAATCTTCATTTTCAACAACCTCCTTTTCTATACATATCACACACCTCATTCAGTAACCCTCTACTTTGAGTGACCCATAAGCTTTGTATTGGGTGTATTTTAATAAAAATATAAAAGGTTAGTTGAGGAATATTACATATCTGTTGACATATAATCTTTAAGATTACCATATTGTTTGGCTAGGTACAAGGACCAGTAATCAATGAGTCTTGATAAAAATTAGCCTACCAGATACCTCAATTTGACATATAACCTATAAAGACATTTATATTAGTGTAGTAACATACCATTCATGCAGATAACAAACAGCAGCATTTTTATGCAGAAAGATGCACCATTCTATAACACATTTTTTTTTGTTTTCAGGACATAGATGATCATGGCTTTCCACTGATTTCTTTATTATCTGTGAATTGGGAAAGATAGTGAAGCGGTTTCCTGTTGTCTTTTCTAGTTTTGAATTCAGAATTGTACTTTTCCTTATCTGGAGAGTTGCTATTTAACCCTTTGTTCTGGGGTGAGTAAAAATGGATTTATGCTTTTCCCAAATTGCACAAAAAAAAAAAAAAAAAAAAAAAAAAAATTACTATTACAGATGACCTGAAAGTAGTAACAAAGACAATTTGGACACAAGACATCATTTTGTCCTTTTCTCACTTCATTTAAATGAACAACTTTGGATCTTGGTTTAATTGAAAACTTTTAATGTTTTCTGATGAGAAATATTTTAATTTCAAATATCAGGATCCCAATAAGTCTTTTCAAATTTTGTTAAAATTGGTTAAACCATTTCAAAATCTTGCAATAGTTTCAGAAACATTTTGGCAATAAAATTAAAATTTACTTACTAAAATTTAGTTCTACTATCATAATATAGTCATGAAAAGACAAAGACTTTGTTAAAAACTAGCCAATTACATGATAGCTTTAATGACTAAGTTTTTCATCCTTCTACTAAAACAAATCTAGAAAATATAACAATTTTTGTTGAGTTAAACTTAAAGAATTTTGGTTTTGGTTGTTTTACAGGATATCAACCCATTGGGTCATTTAATGCTGAAATTAAATGTTTTTCTAAATAAAGCCTTGTACTTAAACAGTCAAGAATTTTTTTTATTTTAAATGTTATTGTTATATTTCTTTTAAATTATGTTTTTGAAATCAGTTTATCTTAGAAACTGGAACGTGTAAAGTGAATCACTATTTTGAAAAAGTTCCTTTAAGTTTGCTATTTCATATTATTTTAAGCTGATTGAATTAAAATTGCTGTAGTTTGTCAGTAGGTATTTTATGGTGAATGGCTCTTGGTATGCCACACATACTAGAGGAGGATTTTCCTTTTTTTTTTTTTAAAGGATATACGAATGAATTATAGTAGTATGTCCAATATGGAACAATCACTTCTCTTCTAGTTTGGTGTTTCTTATGCCATTCTTCTATAGTTGGTTTAATTTTATACAGTTTATTGTTTGGGGAGGAATTCCATAGATTCTGCTACTTCTCACTAATATATCTATTGATTGTTGGTTTCAGATCTGTATATGGGATTTTGGTATTTAAAAGGTCTGATGTGTTTTTTCATAGTGGATGCTTTTCTTGCTAAATTTGCTGTATCATTCTCTATGATACCAATATGGCTTGGTATCCAGCAGAAGACAATACCTCTATTTAAGCTATTGATCTGGTGGAGTAGTTTAATGATGAATGAATTTGACATTTTTGTTTTTCAATGCTGTGATCAGTGTATTGAGGAGAAGTATTATTCAGCAATTTTAAATAAAATAAAGTTAACAGAAAACCAGCTTTAAAAGCAAAAAAAAAAAAAAAAAAAACAAACAAACCAAAACAAACCTGAGGACAAGACATCCATAATTTTTTAAGCTTTTCAAAATGGTCCTTTTTAGATTTCTTGGGATCATCTGTGTAAATCATACTTCCTCTGAATGCTTCTATAGCCTCTCCTCTCTGAAAGCAGAATAAAAATAAAATATTGCATGGAACCAAACAGCCTAACTTTTCAAATTAGTTTTATCTTTGAATCAAGGGCAGTGTCAGTTATCTAAATTGTGACTTGGGAAATGTAACAATGCTGGCTTCTACAACACGATTTCCCCACTCCCTATCCAAGATTTTATTATTCATTGCAGATATTGCCTGTTCAATTATTAAAACATGTTCCTGTCATGAAAGAAATTTAGAAATATCTTATATAAAACTAATTTTACATAAAAGTAAATCATTTCCCCCACAAAATGATATATATTTATATAGAGACAAAAAAAAACAAAAAAAAAACACTATTTCCAGACTGAAAATTTTCAAGTTTTAACTTGAAATCTGACTATTTATAATAAAATAGCCAGGTAATTTCTGACTTCTTTTTTGAAAAAAAAAAAAAGAAAAAAAACAAAAAAAACAAAGAAAACTCATTTTCTATCTGAAACTTCTAACCAAGATTTAGTTTTTGTTGTGTTCAAAACATTATCCTTTAAAAAAAAAAAAAAAAAAAAAATGAAAGAAGAGAAATGCATCCTAATATTATTGCCCATTGATACAGTCAATGAGAGAGAGGGACAACAGGAAATCATCACTAAGTGTGATCTAAGTAACCTCAAACCAGTTTAAACTCAAACCAATTAACAAGTAGATGTTTATCTGTACTGGACACAAACAGAATATTTTTTTAATAAAATTCTCTGTGGCATTTAAGTTTTGCAAGAGCCAGCAGCTATATATCTAACACACACATGTAAAATTCCATGGGTAAGTAATTCAAGTGAATCCTAATATAAAATTAAAACTGATCCACAAATAGAGCTCATTGCAGAGCATATATATAAAAATTACAAATAAATGAAATACAAAAATACCCTATTTGAATGGCCATTTTGCTCTGCCAGAGCTTGTCAACACTAAAAAGTTAGATAAAATGATTAGATTTTATCTAACTTTTTTAGAGTTAACAAGCAAGCAAAAATGGCAGAGCAAATGGGGTATTTTGAATTCAGATATATATATATATATATATATATATATATATATATATATATATATATATATATATATATATATATATATATATATATATACACACACACACACAACTTTAAAGTTGATAAAAAAAAATCAAAAAAAAAAAATCACTCTGTATTGAATAATTAATATCCATGTTTTGTTAAATACAAGTGAAGTTAGATTCCCTACTGGGTACCCTGGATACTGTAATGTGCTGGTTCTTTTTCAGATAACCCACTTATTGCAAAGTCTTGTCTCTCTTCAGCAAATATGGAAAGTATTGAACAAAGTGATGTGTGACAAATGAATTCACATGAATTTTCAAGCACACCAAAAAGAAATGAAATTAGTGCAAGACAATGTATCTGTATGTTTATACATGTAGACCTGTACCAAAGCCAAAATATGTTAAATAGAATTTTTCCACTTTGTCATTCAATTACCTAACATGCGCAGAAGAAAACTGATTTCTTTCATGAGAGTTGATAGAAGAGAGTGGATGAGTGAGTACTTTGGCAAAATACTCTCACATAATTATCACCCAAGCAGTAATGACTATAAAATAGTGACTATAAAATCAATTATTGAACTTGACATGGGCCAGCATTTTTCAGTTAATTCTAAATATATTTTATTGTAATAAACCTTAAGTTCAAAAACATTAATAAAAATTAAAAAAAAATGCAGAGGTTTTATATAATTGGCAATATTTACTATCTGAATTGCCAGAAAAAAAAAATAAAAAATATTTTATTATCATATTATAATCATCATCAGTATGTTTCATTTACTTAAGATATAACTTACACCAATAATTCTGAAACTTCTTATAACAAAACATTAAATCTACGTAACATACAAAATAAAAATCATGCAGTGTGTTTAGATCAAATAGTGTTAGAGTGTATAATATAATAGAGATATGAAGTCCACAATCATTCCATGATGAAAAAGCATTTCTTTTACAAATATTGATCTTGCAATATAACCCTTTTCTATATTAAAGGATTTAATTCAGTCATAACGTGTATAAAAATTATAGCTTTACAAGGTCATTATTTTATTGCTTACAAAGTTGTCAATACAGATTTTCAGGGATTGATACAAGTATCTAAGTCCAGCAGCAATGTTGATAAAATTGCATAATGTCTGTCAAATTCAATCTCAATAATAAGAGAAAGCAAATTAAAAAAAAAAAAAAAAGTGAAAAGCATCAATAAGTACAGAGATTAAAAATTTCAAACCTTTAACTTTTTGGTCTGTTATAAAAACACTACTTAATTCTTTACATGTTGCAACCATGTAAATAATGAATAGTCTTCCTTACATTATTCAGTCTAACTAAAATAGAGTCATGGTTATAGTAACAAAAACACAAAGAGTGATGAAATAATCAACAGAATATTATAATTTTAAGACAGTTTTATGTTTATACATTCTTTTTTATAGATACAAATATTTAAGTAAATTCTCTGTTTATAATAAACAGTATTAACAACATTTACTGGCCTGAATGTCCGAGAAATTGTCATACAAAATATGCGTCCTCCGACAGGAATCAAACCTGTATCCTATACAAAATTGTCATTATAGCCTGACATGCTTTTACCGATTTAGCCATAGAGGAGCATGTTCCATATAGAATACAGGTTCAATTCCTGTCGTTGGACACATATTTTACATGACAATTTTTCAGATATTCAGGCTGGTAAATGTTAATACTGTACTTTGTACATTTCAGAATATTATAGCTTAATTTACTATTATTCTACAAAAATTAATGCCTCCATTAAACTCCAAAGTGAAACTCTGGATGAACAAATGTTATTCATGACTTATTTCACAAATGTCAACCCACAATATGAAAAAATATTCCAAACTGGTTTATCAATAATAGAGAAATAATTCAATGTTTAACCATTGGCTTTCTTCAAGGCTAGAGAGTTAATCTACAATCTTGACAACCAATCTGCACTATGCACTAAAATGAGAGAGAGAGAGAGAGAGAAGCAAATGGACACAAAACAGTAGGAAGAGTCAATTAAGAGAAACATAGAATAAAACTTAATTTCTACCTATCAAGATATGCAAAAAACTCCATGGGAGAGTGAGAAAAATGTATACATGTGTGTCTGCACCTTTGTCAATTCTTATATAGAGAATTTACTGAACATAGCAGCACCTAACCTTATAAAATCAGTGTCATTGAGTGCAAGTTGAAAACCAAGTTATTTGTACTAAGTGAACTTGACAGTTTATTCCTGAAAAAAGAATTGGAATTCATGCCAAAAAAAGTTAATCATATATAATAGGCTTATGAGAATTTCAGCCCTGTTTTTCTCAAACTGCACATCTATACATGTAACAGGAAGCAGCATTAGACTTGAAGACAAGAAATTCCTGGATCAAACCTTTGTGTAAAGTCATTATGAAAATCAGAGTCCAAAACTTGAAAATGTATTTTTTTTTATTTTTAGACTAAGGAATAGCAAATTTCAGCAATGTCGAATGGATAAATAATTCACTGATCATGTTAAAAAAAAAAAAAAAAAAAAAAAATGTCAAAAAATAGTGAAGGAATTTCTTTGAAACACCAGAAAAATGGAGGTATTGGTGGCCTAACAGTTAAAAAAAAATAGTGTCGAAAATGAAATGAGAAATTCAAATTCTGGCCAAGACAATTTTGTATTTATACTAATGTCTTTGGAAGGGGGGGTGTCTCTTTCCCCAATTACATGTAAATAGTTGGGCAGACTAAGCTCTTTAACCTTGGTTGACGAGTCAAAGACACAAAACTGATTCCAAACAAAGAAATAGTCTCATGAACAACCAGCAATACATTATGGGGTAAAAAGAGTACAGCATATTGAGCACCCTGGTCAGTTTCCAGATGTCTTGATGATCTCTTACTTTTGGATCCAAACAGGCAGAGACAGAAGAGCGAGGTTGACAATGTACTGAATTGCCCCTCAATCTAATCCAAGGAAAGCACAAGTAATAGCTTAAGATAAAGCCAAAGTCATTTTTGATAATGGAAAACAAAGAGTAAGAAGACCAGAAAAATCCTTTTAGTCTGTCTAAGATAGATAAGTTTAACTAGTAAAGATATCTTTTAATATTCTTTAAAGAATCTCTGTTGCTCCATGATTATGAGTTAAAAGATGCACACACAAAAATGTAGAGAATGGAAATATTTTTATAAGGTATTTTAGCGAGCCAAGTTTTTCTTAACTCTCTCTTACACACACACAGCGTTCCCCCCCCCCCAAAAAAAAATGTTTAAACACTTCAGGAAAGGAAAAAACTTGTATAGATATTGTAAAACTAAATTTATTCAAATATTACAATATTAATACAGATTACCTTTGGACTCTACAATCACAAGAGATGCTCAAAATGATGGCCTTGAGTTTTCAGATATTTATCAGTATGGATTATTAATAATCTTACATTCCTCAAATGACAAATGTACATCTGGCATGTTGTAGATGCCACAGCCATGGGGATAATGCTATCTGTTGAGAAAATACCCTACTACAGTAAGCAGTTTTTATTGCAATTTGATAAAATTATGAAAAACAAGTTTTTCCTTCCCTGAAGTGTGTATACATTTTTGGGTGGACTGTGTGTGTGTGTATATATATATATATATATATATATATATTAGTGCACAGTGAACACTGCTGGTAATAAAACAGTGCTTGATGTAAAATAACAGAAGATTTGCACTAATAATAAATATATATTTGTTCCTTATCAGTTTCATATCATGTGGCAATTGTCAGGCACAAATTGAAAAGTGAGTGTTGTAAAATTTCAATATTTATGATCTACTGTTAAGATAGTAGCATAGTTCTTTGAGAGAGAAAGAGAGAGAGAGAGAACATACTGAAACATCTTAATAAAACTAGCTAGTTCTATTTTTCATCTGGAAACAGAAATTCTAATTC